TAGAGAGAGACATAGAGAGAGACATACATACATACATACATACATACATACATACATACATACATACATACATACATACATACATACACACACATAGACACACACACACACACGCATACATATGCACACACACACACATATATATATATATACATGCATGCATACTTACTTGCATACATACATACATGCATACGGCCAATCTGCCGAATTGCTAGTCTGGGGATCCTGACACCGCGAAGTGGATGATGCAGTCGTTCCGGCACTCCTTTGATGATTCCGCAGCGTCTGCATGATGCAGGAATGGATCATGAAGCTCTACGACAAAGAGGCTTGATCCAGGGAACCCCAACACCCGAAATTCGGAGTGGGACTTGGATCATTGCTTGCCTAAATAATTGAACAAGTTGGAGAGGGAAAGGGCAACGTCTTATTGTTTGCGCAAATCCCTTCTTATAGCGTGGTGGTGGTTGGGCAGTCGAAGACTTGATGGTAAACATCAGCTGCCGGCAGCGCGATGCTAAGTAACAATAAGGACCACTCAGGCCTTTGACAATGCTTCTTGTTTCCAGTCTCTTGAAAGCTTTTGTCGGCAACTGCGCAGCTGCGAGGTGCGGGTCTTCATCAGGAAGAAGACAGTGGTGCAGGCGGGGCAGCGCAGGGAGTTTGTTTCGGCACGCCTAAGGCGGATGTGGTCCCTGTGTTCCGGGTTTTTTCGGCATTCAGCGTCCCTTAGTCTCGACATCCCTGACCTCGAGATGACCCCGTAGTGTTACCAATGATTGTTGTGGGAGTGGAGAGACACCTATATCAGCAACCTCATGTGCAGGATCAGCCGGACAGCCCCTTCAGCGCATGCTTCGGGGAGGATCCAGAGGAGGAGGAGGAAGAGGAAGAGGAGGCCACTTGTGCCGCCTTCGACATGAGACGTTTTGCCGGCGTTGGAATCATGGTTACAGCATGTTGCCGATATGACTTGTCTTGTTTGAGATTACTCTATTGTCAGTGTTGTGGCCATGGATTCGTTTTCAAGCTAATTTGTTACGATGCAGACCATCCGGAACAAATAAAATGGCCAAGCGGATTCAAAGCACGACGGCTAGTACAGTTTATTCCTTGCCTTCCCTCCTTGCGTTCTTGCCTCCTTTCCTCACTTCCTCATTCCCTCCTGGCTCGACATGCAGCAGAATCGAGTTTTGGTGGTCAATACAAAATCCTACTCAAAACTTGTCTGTATGCTTGGTTTGTCATGCCCATGCTACAGCACTTTTTGTGGTAACCTAGGTAGGAAGCATGGCGGTGCCGATTGAATTGTGCTGCTGGTTTTACAGGAAGCGCTTCCTCCCTGGGCGCAACAGCTCAGCAGCAGCGAGAAGTGGCGGTTCCAGCTTGCACGAGCCCTCCGGATGCATGGATACTGGGGTTAAACAGGAGCAGAAGATCATTGTAGTAGGGTGCGTGGGTGGACGCCCTAGACGTCCCTAGAGCAAACGATATAGAGACCCGGCGAGGCACGGACCCAAATCTGAGCATGAACCGAAAGAGTGTCGAGCTATGACAGCACAGCACGCAACAAGTTTGCCTGCGAACAGTGCACATTCTCTCGTGTTTGCCTGCCACGAGCTTTTCTATCCAAGAAGCTAAGGCGTTTGTGCATGACCCTCATGCGCCTCGGCGAGATCTCTATGTGAGAATGTGTCTGTCTTGTTGCCACAGGTGAACCTCCTCAGAGCTCAGTAATTGTCTGAAAGCATAACTTTCTGCTAGTTTATCATTCGCGGAGCTGCCAAGGTCCTGTTGGTTCATCGTCCTGCGGATGAGCTGGATCCGCAAATGCAGGACACCCGAATGGATGTGTTTGAGATTTTTGATGGAGGCTTGCCGAAGTAAGCCATGGCTAGTGCCGAGAGATCGTATCTCCTGCGAGGAGAAAGTTCTGAGCTGCTTCCGTGACTTCGTTGACCGCAGGCGCGTGCTAATTCTCAGAAAGGTCACAGCAGCAGCGGCAGGTTGAGTCAGTCCATTCGTGCTATTGGCCGAACTGACTGAATCATCAGTTCAATCATCATCAATAGCATCATCTTCATCATCTCCTCACTATCTGCCACGTTGCTCTTCTTATGACCGCCGTCTTTCAATGCACCGAAGGGAGGGGACCGTTTCATCCCAGGGGCCTGGAGATCAATGAGGAGATCGGAAGTCATCTGCCGCCGGACAGACGGCGGCCACGCACTGCCGACGGGCTGCAAGCTTCGGGCCTTCTTTCTGGTTTTGCCGGATGTAGAGGCCTTCAGTTGTCGCATGCCGGATAGTCTGTGGAAGCTTCCCGGCAATGGACTTTCAGACGATGCACGGGGGAAGCTGGCCAGAGATTTGCATAGGACTTGGTTAAATCCGTGTCGGCTCAGCCATCAGACGCTGCATGGAGCACACTCTTGCAAGCCCAGGTCGTCTTTACCACTGGCAGTATGACCAAGATTTCGATTGCTGCACCTCTCTTGCACAAGTCGCTCTGTGATGCATGCAGTAAGCCGTGAACCCGAAAAACTTACCCCTTTACCCGTTTGGAATGGCAGAGAGCAGTGATAAATCTGCAAGCGTCCCAGATCCCAAGCTCCTCAAAGGACTATGTGTGGCGAATTGGCAAAGACGGAGTCCAGGTGGAGAATCAGAGGTCGATGCTCGGCTGGGATTTCCTGACATCGGATGCTTGACTGTGGCGGCCAAGAACTCCAAATACAAGGCCCAAAGCCCTACACCCTAAGGGCCTAAAGGGCCTAAAGTGTCTTGCTGGCCCTTCAGGAGCCTGAAGTTTTCCTTTGCCTGGGACTGAGGGAGGGGATCATCATGTATTTTTCAGGCAGAGAGCGCGCCGCGCTTTAACTCTCTGCTGCCCCGTGTTACGGCGGCTTCACAGATGTGGGGGTTTCCGAAAAGAGGGGACCTAATATAGCACCCCAAATAGTAGGATCCTGATGATAAGGACCCCAAAATAAGGTACCCTAATTTTCGGAAAGTCCCATGTAGGCCAGATGCCCCGAAACCCTAAACCCTAAACCCTAATTTTCGGAAGGTCCCATGTGCTCCAAGGAACGTCCCATCGGCCCCCCGTGCTGCCCTCCCTGCTGGGACCATGGGGACCATGCCGGCGCTCGGCTCCGGCACTCCGACCCAGCGTGCCTCGTTTTGCCGTCAGCTGTTTAGCCGCTTCTATAATATAGTATAATAAAAATAATATAATAATATAATGTAATATAATACTAATAATAATAATAAATAAATATATATATATATACATACACACACATACATATATATATACACATATACTATATATATATATATATCTGTATGTATGCATGTATGTATATGTATATGTATATGT